CGTCTTCAACAGCAGGACAGTTTTCTACTTGCTTCAAATATTCTGGTCGGTATCTTATGGGGGATGTGTCCTCCTACATGGATCCTGAGGAAGTATTAAGTCTATTAACCTCCACCTGTCAGGATATACTGGATTCCATTGCTTCCCTCCGATGTTGACTGGCTAAGCCGAAGGTGCAACCTTGGTTAAATGACTTAACTCGAGAACATAGACGAAGAGGTCATAAAGCTGAATGTAAATGGAAGAAGAAGAAACTTTATGTTTCTCTTTGACATTTCAGGGACTGCTTGTTGGACTATCAGAAGGTGGTGAAATCTGCCAAATTGAATTATCTTTCTAACATTGTGGTCAGTAATCGTCACAAACCTCAGGTTTTGTTCACTACAATTCATTCTGTCATTAGCCCAGGTAACCTTACCTCTCATCCTGAGGCACGTGGTTTTACACATGAAAACATCTCCCTGTCCTCTGGATTACCTGCTGACAAGATTATCTATTATCTATAAGTCCTATCTTTCTGGCTCTAATTAATTTATGCTTGACTACAGGCTCAGTTCCAGATGCTTTAAAAAAAGCAATTGTCCAGCCACTTCTTAAAAAGCCGAATCAGATCCTTTAGTGTTTTCCAATTTTAGACCAGTGTCTAAATTAGCTTTTATGTCGAAGGTTTTAGAGAAGATTGTTTTTATTCAACTCCAGTCTTTTCTGGCATATAACGGCATTGAGGAGCAATTTCAGTCTGGGTTTAAATCGAAACACAGTACTGAGTCAGTGTTATTAAAAATTAATCACATTTTGTTGGCTAGGGATGCTGGAGATCTAGTTCTGTTGGTGCCTTTAGACCTCTCTGCTGCCTTTGATACAGTGGATCATGGAATCCTCTTATCTCACTTGGAGCAGTGTGTAGGAATTGAAGGTACTGCTCTTAACTGGTTTAGATCGTATCTCACAAATAAAAGTTTTTCTGTTAATATTGGTAACTGTTCCTCCTCTTCAACTATCCTCTCCTGTGGTGTCCCCCAAGGCTCTGTACTCGGCCCAACTCTCTTTTCCTCGTACATGCTTCTGCTGGGATCAGTTCTAAGGAAATATGGCTTCTCCTTTCATTGTTATGCGGATGACATCTAGATATATTTACCATTAAAATCAGCCGGAGGGATGTCTCTACAGCCAAGTAACTAGTCTGTCTGACAGACCTGAAAGCATGGCTGGCACAGAACTTTCTAAAATTAAATGAGGATAAAACTGAATGCTGAAAAAACTTAGAAAAAATCAACTGGACTAGATTTCTAGGTCAAAGACATTTCACCTCTCATCCAAGAGGCTTCATCAGTTTGACCTAGAAATATAGTCCAGTTGATTTTTTTCATCTTACTATGACCTAGATGACTGAGAATCTGCACAGACAGATAAAACTGAATGTGTTTTATCTGGCAATCTGGCAAAATTTGCTGCTTTTAACCACAATTTAGGCCTCCTGGCTCATCATCTGAAGATGACTGTAAAAAACCTAGGGGTACTGTTTGATAGCGACTTAAGATTTGACAAGCAGATCAACTCAGTTGCAAAATCTAGTTTCTTTCATCTGAGGTTGTTGAGTAAAGGCAAGTCATTTCTTTCTTTTAATGATTTTGAGATTGTAATCCATGCTTTTATAACCTCTAGACTCGACGATTGTAATGCATTATACCTTGGTGTTAACCAGTTGTCTCTCACTCGTCTTCAAATGGTCCAAAATGCTGCAGCTCGGTACTAGGAAATTTGACTATATAACCCCGGTACTGGCCTCTTTTAAAATTCATTTTAATTCATTGATTTTTAGTTTTAAGGCTCTTAATGGGTTGGTATCGCCCCAATTTGCTGAGTTGGTGGGAACCTACAAGATTGCTCAGATCATCACGCCAGTTTCTTTTAGAGGTTCCCAGGGCCAGATACAAATGCTGGGGTGACTGTGCTTTTATTGTTGCAGCTCCTAGTTTATCTCTCAATGTTAGATCATCTACAGGGGCAGCTGTACCCCCATTATGGGGGGGGGCTGTGGCTTAGGAGGTAGAGCGGGTCGTTTCCTATACCAGAGGATTAGCAGTTCGTTTCCCGGCTTGTCCCCTGTGCCCAGTTGCTCCTGGTGATGTCACCGGTGTGTTAATGTGTGAGTGCTTGGGAGTGTGAATGGGTGAATGGCCAAATAATGTGAAAGCGCTGTAAAGCGTAGAAAGGCGCTATAAAAGTATAAGACCATTTTTCCCCATTTTTACAGACTTGACAACTTTTAAATCATTGGTTAAAACATATTTATTCACTTTGGTTTTAAATACATAGTACTGTCTGATGTGTCCTTCTTTTAACTGTTGATTCCGTGTAATTTGTTTATATGTTCCTATGTTGTTTTATTCCTGTATTGATCTTATTTATTTTAGTTCTTACCTGTCCTTCTAAAGTACTTTGGTCAACCAGATGTTGTTCTTAAAGTGCTATATAAATACATTTTTATTTGATTCAGTTAGGCAGCCTCTCTCCCTCTCAACACCACCTATTTTAACTTTCCACACAGCGACCAGCGCTGGGCCCAGGAGCTGTGCTCCAGCCAGGCCTTGAGAATTGCTGATCACACACTTAAATCCATGCACAGTAATTGGCCCACAAAATAACACACGGATGCAGCTCATGAGCAAACACCCTGCACGTTTCCCAATGATGTTTTAGGCATTACTGACAACAGGTGATGTCATTGTGGCTGCAGTCACTCGCACCAGACTGCACAGGGCTCATGTTAGGGAGCAGACATGATATAATGCACTTTAGGGGTCTGTGGTGTCATAATAGAGCAAGTCATACATTTGAAACTACATATTATATGTTGATCATACAATGAACGCCAGACACAGTGGCCTAGTACTTGAGCAAAGATGTGCACGGTGCTTACAGGATGAATTGCACACACTGTCAAAAATCTGCAAGTACTTAGTTATGAAAATTTGTAAATGCTCCTACCCCTATTAATTACAGCCCCCTGATTGGCCAGTAGCCAACTCAGCTGTCCAATCAGAGTAGAGTGGCAAACAAGTGACAGATTGTCTCAGTGGGAGTAGCACTAACTGTGTTACATGACACACACACAGTCACACACTGAAGGTCCAGATGGTTCACACTGATCTATGAGCGTTATTGTTCACACTGATGTCTTCGTCACTTGTCTCTGATGGTTGGTTTGTGTGTTGTAAACATGTCTGAGCTGCCTGTTGTGTTTCTGCTGACTTTATGTTTGTGCATTCGAACATAATTTTTGTGCCTCTTTGTGTCTAAGCCTCCAAAATCAGTGATGAGATTCCTGTGTGCTAAAAGGTCAGGGTCCGATGGCAGATTTGGTGCAGAGAAAGATAAAGTAAAACCTGGGACAAAGCTGCACCTGAAACTCCAAAGACTGCGCAAGCCAGCATGCAGTTTGTTCCATAGTTGTTTTAGGGTTTGACAGCACACTGATCCGCTGCTCAGGTACCACTGTTGTTGTGGAGAGAGACAACCCCTCAAATTCACAGAGAACACTGATAGTCACATGCTTGTGTCACAACAAACATAGATGACAACCAGGAGCTTGGACTGTTTCTCTGCTGAAAAGGACAAAAAAGGAGGAAAGAGGTCAGAGTTTGCCTTAGACCTGTGCCACAGACCTCTGCAACTAGTTCTCAGACTTCTGCAATTACAGTAGTCCCTAGACCTCTAGATCCAGTCCCCGTACTTGTGCAACTGGCCCCCAGACTTTTGCAGCTCGTCCCCAGACCTCACAGCCAGAAATGCTGCCATGTCTCTCCAAAAACCCTGTGGTTGCTTATCTTAATTTCCAGAATCTTCAAAGGTGCCCTGAAGGCATTTTATAGTGCATCATGCATTTTGTCTAAGCCTTGCAAAAACTATCTGACACATGCATCGGTGGCTCTGTGGAACACATCTTGGGGAACTTGGTAGTGTTGGGTAGTGAGGGCAGCTGAATTCCTGTGGAACATTTCCTTTATTATGATGGTCAAATTAAATCGAATCAAATCAAATTTTATTTGTAAAGCACATTTACAACAATTATGCTGGTTGTACTGTTTAACCAATGTTTAACCTGAGTAAATACTGTTGAGGTTAGAAACTTTGCTGCAGACAGACAGGTGGTACTAAGTAGTTTGGTCAGAGTGATGGCAGTACGGGGGAAAACACCTTAAACCGCAATATATGTTCAATACACAGTCTGTGGTCCTAAAAGTGTTTTCCTGTTCTGTGTGTCTGGGGACATAACGTGTCTGTCTTTTAGGACAAACAAGAAGTCCTTTCATCTTTAAAGAGCAACTGAACTGATGTGCTTACTGAAACAGTGGCTCTTTATCTTGGACCAAAATTGTAATAATCCGTGACATTGCCTCATAGCTGTAACTCAGGGTTGAGGGATAATGCTCTGATACAATAGGATGTGAAGATGCTCCTCATTGTGATTTTATGTGATGTGAACAATGATTTCAAGAGTCTAACCCCTCATTTCCACCATGATGCAGTTTTGATCCATCCTCTCTGGAGCTTCATCCCTCACCAGCTCATTGAGGTGCTGATTTTCCATGTAGGATACTTTTTCCTTGTTTTTGAGCTTCAAAAGTGGGCAGGTTTTGTAGTTAAATGGTTTCTTTTTTCTGCCTCATGAGTCTGCTTTGATCGGCCTAATTTTGCTTCTGCAGGCCAATGATGACTGAGCTGAACTGATTAATAATTGTACAGTTCAGAGAGTATTAATCCATGTATTGATGAATCTCACCAGAACAATAATCTCAGTGCACTGACTGTAGTTTCCTCGAGGAGCCCAGCTGCCGTTGGACTGACACACTCTGTATACCCGATCTGAACACACACACACACACAAAGATAATGGTTAGTTCACAAAGTCAATATTTCTGCACCACAGCTAACTGATTAATTTGATGTTGGACAAAACAGATATAACAAATTATTCAACAAAAACCAGAAAAGAAAGTGCAGCAAATTTGACCCATCACCTGCCTCTCCATCCTCACCCACCAACACCACCCCCTCCCCCTCCAACTGGCTTCAGGTTTGATCAGTAGCACTGGGTCAGCTGATGAGCCTGACCTGGATCAATACACCAGTTGTGATAGCTATCTTATTTAGCCTGTTAGCTGAGGCCAGGGAGAGGCAGCAAGGGTATTCTCAGTGTGTGAAGAGATGGTGATGATGATGATGAAGGTGGAGTGAGACATAGGCTGCAGCTGGTGTAACACACACACACACACACACACACACACACACATTTGTCTTTCTGTCTCTGTGAGGACCCACATTAGCATAATGCAACTTGTAGCCCCTTAACTTACCTAAACCTGATTCTAACCGGTACCCTAAACTGGGTATAAACCCTCACACAGCTCTTTGAAGGTGTGAAGACTGTACAACATGTCCTCACAGTGCAGAAATGTCCTCACAACAATGTTATGAAGCAAATGTATTCATACGTGAACACACACATGGATGACTCATGCCATTAAGTCAGATCAACAAACTAAACCTCTAATTAAACAGGATTTTATCACCACCCACACACACAAACACATTAACACAAATGCACACATGCTATCACACGGACACACACACCTTAACACAGTGGAAATTACAGTAATCTACTCAGTTGGCAGGAAATGAAAAGTCAGTAAATCCTCTCCTCAGACTGTTGTTGGACATCAGTAAGACCAAGTGCGAAGCTGTGATTGGCTGACATGTTATTGGCAGCTGCAGATTGGCTGAGGACTGAGGAGGGATGGAGATTTCTGTATCAAGTCCAAAATGCAGCGTTCCAGTCCACCATCACAGGCTGAAGCAGCCCATCATGTTACACAGACTCCTACAAACAGCTGAGAACCATGACTCACAGCCTGGCCAGTCCAGGTTTACAACAGAAAAACACAATGTACAGTCTGGGAGGAATGGACTGCACATTTCTAACTCTGAATATATATTATAAATTTTTTGTAAATGGGGATTGACAAAGTGGGATTGTCACAGCCTGTGTTGCTGTTCCATGCATTCCTGGCCCTGTTACATTGAGACTTTTCTGTGGACTGCCATTTCCAATCCAGTCTCCAGGTGTCTCTGGATTTTCCCTCTGACTCCGCACTGCACACTTGCCTCCCATTCCCTCATTGCCCAGTGCTCACCCCACCACACCTGTCTCCACCTCCCCAATTAGCTCCCTCAGCATGTTTACTTGTCTGTATGTTGCCAGATTGTCTGTTGTGCTTACCGTAGCCTTTGTGCTTCCAGACTTAGCTTTCTTGCCACCTGTCGGTTTCATGTTACTCTGAGTTCATATGTTTGTTTGGGAGTTACCTGTGCTTGTTTTTCCAGTCATCTACCCTCATGGTTTTATTGCTTGGCTCAGACTGTTTGCATGTCTCTGACCTCCACTCAGACTTTAGCTCTTATTGTCCCTGCTCAGTATTGTTGGCCTGAACTTTGTAAGTCACCCATTAAAACTGTTGCACCTTACCTGAGTTTGGGTTGTCTCTGCCTGCCTGGGTTGTTTCTACAGTTTGTGACAGGTTGTCTAAAGATCACTTAGACATGTTTCATATTAACAAAAGTTGTGATTTGTGGACACAGACTTGCAGTGACTTGAATAGATATGCTGATTGCATCCAAGCTTGTAAACCTTTTGTGCTGCAGTTTGTCAGGGATGTAGTTTGGCATCGAGTTAGCTAGAAAGAAGAGGATGTCCCCAGTCTTAGTCGCAGCTTAGAAGTGTGTTTCCCCAGCTGGCAGAAATAACCTTTAATGGACACAACACCAGACTTTTAACCCATTAAGCCCTTGGCAGTTTTTTGGAACTTCCTCCTGACAAACCTAATTCAGTCAGTAGGAGCTCAACAACTGTGAGGTGCATCTGATTAGCAAGAGGTTTTCCACTAAAGGTCCAACAGATCAGCAGAGACAGAGCAACACCCACTTGTGGTATTGTAGTGGATGCCATTGAACTGCTCAGGACAGGGTCTGGAGATCAACACTCCTGCTGCACTGCGAGGCCAACAGGTTCCTATTCCATCCACAGACAGGTCACAGTGCAGACCTGCAGACACACATATGGACTACAAAGATGTTTTCAAAGGAATAATAAAACAGCTGCAGTGTACAAATATAATCCTTTATCAGAAAAATAAGCAGTTCAGATGAAATCACAACTTCTTTGTAAGTTGTGTTCCTGCAGTTGTAGCATCATCAATCTCCTTCACAGTAAAATCCTCTCAGCCACAAGAACGTGATGACATCAAGGCCTGAATGCAGGGTGGGGTCACTCAAAGCATTTTGTAGTTTTTGTTTTGAATGAGCTATATGACTTGTACTATGGAGCAGCTGCAAGATGTTTATTGTGAATAAGCTGAGACCACACAAGTTTGACTGAAGTAATTCCAGGCTAGTTTTTAGTAACAGCTCCAAACTGAACAACGTCAGGTTCTGTGCATCAGTGACGTGGGAGAGCAGTGAAAGATATCAAATCTCCATGTCCCCATCCCCAGACCAGAGTGACAACTGAAACAAGTGTTTTTACTTTGGCCTAATCAAAATTTAAAATCTGAATGAAAACAGTTTTATAATAGTGGCTCAACTGATGCTGGTTCCACTGAGTCTGTTGAAGTATGATTAAAAAAAGATAAAGCACAACAATACTACATCCATTTTAGTCATAGAAATACTATGCAGCACCTCCATTTGGAGAGTCAGGTGTGCCAAACACATCTTCCGACAGGTAAGCTGACTGTAAACCTTTTTGGTTTCCATTAGTACGTGCAATACACTAATCAGTTCACTTTTTCTTCCACAGGGAGGTTTTTTTTTACTGCAACCCTAAGCTATAATCCAGTCAGAGAAACAAGAAACTCAGCAACAGCCACTAAATTGCTGCACAGCCCAGCTCAACAAGCAGATGTCTGTGTAAACTGACACTTGGAGCCATGAGGTCATGTTCGATGGTAACATACTCGTACACATCTCACTGTGAGCTGCCACAAGCTTTGAACTGAATTTGGATAAGTAGATACAGAATTTCGTCTGTGTGGCAGTAAAATGTCACGTTTGAGTTCTGAGTTTCCTCTGGGCTTTAGGAGCCATGTTGCTCCTATTTACTGTCTTTATTTTAGGACACTTGCATGTTTTTAAGCGCTACCTTCCAAACTTTTCAGAACAGTGGAACACACTCGTGACTTTCTCTCATTTTGATAACAGATATGGCTCGATCTCCATGGAAAGGGTTAATATTCCAGGGTACACTTCAACATGCGGGCTGCAGGCACCAAGATTCAAACCTTCAACCTTCCGGTTGGGAGACGACTGCTCTACCCACTGAACCACTGTCACTTCCGAAGTTACTAAGGGAACTCCTGGGCAGTAAGAATAGTTAAAGCTGTCTACCATGACTAACATAGACTCTCTCTAGTTACATCAGGTTACTGCTGTGTGGTTCAAGGGTAGTTCTACTTAGCAACTCTGGGTAGTCCAGTGGGTCAAAGCTACACCAGGTCAGAGTCCTGCACCAGACAAATTTTGAAAACCTGCACCCGCAAAGCTTCGTATCGGACCCAACCTATTACCTGGAGTTATTTCTAAATGAAATTCTGACTTGACCCAACCTGCTAACATAAGACCCATGGTCCAACTCGCACCTGTAATTAAAATAGACTTTAAGCGACACAGTCACTTTAAAGTGCATAAGAGTTGTGTTTTTTAAAAGTGGCTGTTGAAGGACGCAGCACCTGGGCTCTGCAGTGAGGATGTGCCTAGGTTGTGGCTATCACACACTCCCACTTTTTGGGACTTCAGTATTTACAAACAGCAAAGCCTCTAATAATGTTGTTCTCTACACCCAACTTCTCCCATCAGTCCAGCTTCGATGATGTATTGCCCATACTGACCACCGGCTGTTTTTGCTTTTGGGTTGTCCAGTTTTCACATTGACGCCTACAGTGATGTCTGAGTGATGTCTTATTAGCTGGATGTGAGTTGAGGGGTCAAAGGTTGTGCCGTAGGCATTCACAATAAATCTATCAGTTATTTAGGTTTGGTAAAATTATGCTGGAGTGGATGTTTAAAAGAAGCTGCACTTTTAATTATTTATTTTTAAATTTAAATGATGTTTATTTCACTCGCTACCCACCCACATTTAGTCAATTATTTCCTTTGCCTGTACCCAGGAATTAAGATAAACATATTTTTACCTGTTACACATAATTTTTGCGGGTACCTGGCCTGATACAGTACTCTACAATGGGCACCCCAAGACACTGACAGCTGGTCTTGACTAGTCCAGAATAACCTAGAGTGATGTGAGGTAATCCAGAAGGATCCCTGGTCTTGCAGTCCAGGTGTAACTAGTGGGGGATTTTTCCAGTACCACCTATATATTGTAGGTGTGCCACACAACACCAGTCTGTATGATTATTGGGGGTACTCTGGTTCTGTGTATATTTAACAGAGGTCAAAGGTTAACATGCACATTAAGCTGTACAAACCTGAGGAGTTACTGATGGTGAACGTCTGATTCAGTAACGCCAATGTCCTCGCTGAGGTAGAGACATGCAGAAAGAGCACAGAGTTGCACTTTTCACTAGTTTATCTTGTATTTGGAAACTAGAACTAGAGACAGGAAGACAGACGTGCAGTTACCTGTCAGGTTAGTTGACAACAGGATCAAAGTCTCGCAGGTTAACTCTGCCGGAGATACTTGTCCAGTCAGAAACACACACACACAAACCACCTGAAAAAACAGATACAACAGGAGATGATGTTCTCTGATAATGTAACAACCAGGAGTCCTTCCTCTAATTGGAGCCGGGTTGTTGGTTTCAGCTCTGTCCTAACGTCACTGAGTGCAGGACTGATGCTACTGTCATTGTGTTTAAGGGGTGTTGGTCAACAAAAGGTCCAACACAAACTGCTGTTAACATTACAATTTGTCCATTTTGTATGTATTTAGACTTTGTTTGTGTGAAGCTGGAACAACTCCACAGAGGAGGCCTCTAGTCTGGATCATTTAACAGAGCCTGAAACCTCCAGTCCAACACCGTTCTGAAAGGCTACACTACATCCACATATTTTACTGTCTGAAGCCGACACTGAAGTCACTACCAGTTCACTTGGTGATTGGTTAGCTGTGTGCAGGTGAGAAACTTGTCTCAGCTCCTGTTGCATTCTTCACACAAAGTATTTGTCACTTTTATGTGAACAGAGATTGACACAAACCTCTTCAGGAGAGAGTGAACATGTTGTCGCTTACCCGATCGTGTCTTCACTGTTGCTGTGTGACAACTGGCATTAACCTCCAACCTTCAGAGTGGACATTCAGATTCAGCAGAAACAACACATCATACAAACAGGATTTCACTACATGTCAGACGCCCCTTTAACCTAAAACAAGACCATGTGCCTTCAAAAGAAACACATTATCCTTCTTAGGAATGAAGGAGTAACTCGGTGTAACTTCTTTGTGACCTGTAGCTCATGTTAGCAAACTGCAGACAGGTAAAAACTTCTCCATCACGAATATTTCTGAACCAGGTCGCTGCCATTATGATGCTTACCACTGTCCTAACCTGCCATGCGTGGGCGCCACCACTGAGCAACTCTAGTCTCACATTAAAGCCAAAAAGTGACATAGTATCAACAGGTGGACACACAGGTGTTTCATTGTTTGGCCAGACTTTTCATACCTCATATCTAATATCACACACGAAGGCAGCTTATACACAGAGGAAACAAGATAAAAAAAGTAATAAAGCTGAATCCACAAATAACAACTGAGCTCAGCAGGAGTCTGGGTGTGTGAGCATATTGTGAATAATGTGTTAGCTTTGCAGTCCTACTGTTGTTTTCCCAGCATGCGAGATGGTGGATTCATCATTCAGCATGGTGCTTAAATGTCCACGAGTGCAGCTGCTGCAGCAACCTGCAGGGACAGTGTAAATCTCAGCTCCATTGGAGGCTGTAATGTAATGGTAAGTGAGACGTGCCATTGTCATCTGGACAACAATAACTAACTCCACTGATTCACTCGACACTGGTTCATTAATTCAACAGTTAGGCTCAGTAATTGACAATTAATCAGCTGCGATGATGTTTGTGCCTTCTGTCAATTATTCACTGGTGTCATCGATTCATTATTCACTCAGCGTGAATTCAGCGTTTGGCGTTTGGCGTTCAGATGCTGTGCTGCAAACACGCACTGGTCTTTCTGCCTCTGAGAGGGCTCTCATAAAAAGACATACACACACACACACAGTACGTAAACCTGCTGTCCACAGAAATTTACTGTCATGACGCTGCAGCTAAAATTAGACAGAGCTGAGTGCAGCGCACTGTCGGCCGTCGGGGTGCTCGGTGTAAATCTTCTGGTTAAGGCAGCTCAGAGGGAGGAGTCTGCCCAGGCTCCTGCAGTCACACTCCTGTTTGGCTCCTCAACACCTAATGCACATTGTAGGCACTCGCTGTGTATGTAATACAGTATATGTAGCATGTTTTAACTGAAACATCAGAAAAAGCAAAATACTATAACTTTGAAAAACGCACGGTCCACTGTTATAGAATCACCCACCATGTGTTCACTGACACCGATACGTCCGCTTTATTCCTAAGAATCACTTTTTGCTGTATGGTATTTATTACTGTGTTTAATTGACATTTCTCTATATTCTAGATAACTGATTAGAGGGAGGAAAAATTAAAGTCTCTTTTTCTCTGTTCATCAATACTCGCATTCGAGTTCCAGTTTTGTGGACAAAAACAACAACCGCATCAGTGTTTACACGTCCGTGGTTATTTTTCTTTATGGTTTTACTAAGGCCTTCATTTACATCATTTTTTTCTTTTAAACTTTAAAAGCAAAAAGATTAAAGACTGGAGAAGAAATAAGTGAAAATTTAAACTCAATCAACGGTGATGTAAAGAAAACAGCAGCAGCACCATTCACTATTCTGTTAATTATATCTAATAAACTAACATCCAATACCCGCTAAGATTGAACATATGTCAGAGCATTATCTCAGATTTACAGTAACTGGTGTTGATCTGAATGTTACAGATCAATAGAAACCATATCCTGAGTTTAGTCAGGTTAAGCGTCTTTGGTCTCGACTCCAGACCTGGACTGAGATCTGCACCGACCAACTCATATGTGATTATAGAAGTATGCTTCTTTAAAACATGGAGACTGTTCTTGGATCAGATTTAGAATGTCACAATGCACATATTGTGTGTTACAGTGTGTATGTGTCAGTGTCACTGTGTGCTGTGCTGCAACCTTTTGCAGAGCCATGCTGACAGAGTGATCTGATTGGCTAAGAGGTCCCAGGAGGTGCAGACCATATGGCTTCACCTCCTCCACCTCCTGCTGCTCTCCTCCTGTGTAATGCTACGAATACCACTACATCACTGCTACAGCATTTTGTTGTTGTTGTTTTATACTTTATATCACAGTAGATGTCAGATTGTAGCACTGTAGTATTACTGCATGTTTACATCACATATACTCCACATGTATAACCAAAATAAATGACACTTTAGACTGTAAGGTATTCTGCTCTGCTGTTAGTGTCACGGGAAACGAACAGCACATGATAACGGTTACGTCATACATGACCCATGTTTGTGCACAGATTAAGTTTGATTATTTTGTCCTAGTTTTATAAATTTCTGTTAAAACAACAGCAGAGTGAGCTTTGTATTTCCTGTCTCAGCTGTTAGTCCGGCTGTTAGCAAGTGGGAGGATGAGGTCTCTTAATCCAATTCAGGGTCTGCTGACTCACAGCTCTGCAAACACCTTCATCTTTTTCAGCTTCGTTTTCTTCTTCTGCCGTGGAGCTCAACATGAAAAAGAAGCCAGCAGGGGATTTATTTGGGATTTTCTGTTTATTTGGTCCTAATACTCGCTTTGCCCTCTAGTTCAGTGCTGATGTTCTGTGTCGGTACATATAGTCTGGCCTGACACTCCCACTTGGATGTTATCAGAATTAGAATCAGCTTTACTGGCCAAGCATGTTTAAGGAATTTGACTCCAGTACAAAGACTCTCAATGGGCTTTGTAAGGCAGCAAGAAATAAACAATATAAAATAAAATTGTTGACAATGTATTGCAGTGGAGTGATTGCTGCCGCAGTCCTCATAGTCCAGTTTAGGTCTTCATGGTTTTCATGTTTCCACTTAATGATGATGTACACCACACGAGTCAAAAGGAAGGTGGAGAGGATCACTGCTGACCCTTCACACCCTAGGACACAGTCTGTTTGAACTCCTCCCCTCTGGACAGCGTTACAGGTCACTGTGCACCAAGACAACCAGGCACAGGGACAGTTTCTTCCCCCAGGCTGTCACTCTGATGAACATTTGACCAACAACAGTATGATTGGACAATAACCCTCAGTGCAACACCTGTAAATATACACTGTACAGGTTATACAGACTCGTACAGGTCTCTAGTTCTTAAGTACTCTGTTTTATCCCTATTTATCTCATTTTAATGAACATTCCTTTGTTGTCTGCATTGTTCACTATCTGTTTATACTGCTTTTCTCCATTGTTTGCATTGTTTGTTGATGTTAATGCTGCTATTTTGTTATATTACACAGCCTTATGCTGGTTTACTGTTTGCACATTGAGAGCTGTGTCGAAACGTGTTCTCGTAAATTGAAAAGAAAAGACTAAATATAAAGATATTTCACAGTGTGAAATTTATTATGCATTAACGTATCAAAATAAGCATGTGCACATGGAGCTTCACTGTTTAGGATAAACAGAAAAGACTAACTCCAACTTAGCGGTATACAATATATGTATGAAAAGATGTTACTATCTGATTGGTCCAAAACTGTTGGGGAGGAGTTGTGGTTTAAACTTAACTCTCCCAAGATTGGTCCTTCAGTCCGTCCATCCTCCAGTCATCCTCTCTGCTCCAATGGTTGTGGACAGCACCCTAAAAAGGGAGAAATACCTATTCTGTCTTAATTCCTACATAGACACTTATGTCTTCCTTTGTTTCCAAGAGACTGCCACATTTTAGACACTGCTTTCCTGTTCCAATACTGCCCTGCCTTTGAAGTTGTCTTCCTCTTCCTGACTTTTAAATCTAGTCTCTTGTTTATTACCCTTGGTGTCCCAGTGACCCCAAATTCTCTGGCCTCTTCAGCCAGGTGGTGATAATAAAGTAACTGTAGACCCTCTTTGCTAAAGCTGTAAAACTAATGAGATTTCAGTGTTTTAGTGAATCAGTCTCCCTTGATGTTAAACAGTGCTCCAGTTGGCTAACACAGTATACTGACCAGTGATTCAGTGAACACATAGGGTGATATGTAACTACATAACATAAACTCAACTGTGAGATTAAAATATATAAACTTATGTATGCTATATAATAAAAACCCTAACAAATTATTCATTTCTATCTAAAAATGAAAATCACCCTAACAGCTGATGTACCTGAGTCAAATTCCTTGTGTGTCCAACACACCTGGCCAATAAAACTGATTCTGATTCTGATTCTGAAGACCATGAGATGCAGCTGAAAGCCCCAAATAAGCCAGTATGTGGACAGTGAGCTGAGATGATTTTGTCCTGAGGGTGGTGCTGTAGAGGAAAGTCTTTAAAATGTGCTCATCTCTGAGCAAGAAGGAGGCATCCAGAATATTCTCACTTAAAATGAAAATGTGTTTTAAATATGAGGTTTGAGTGCAAATGACAGCCTGATTCTCTTGTACATAAAAGTAAAAA